GCCCGGACAGTCGCGTTAGTTACCATGCTTCCAGCCCGGACAGTCGCCGTGCTCCAGCCGCCTTCAGTCAGGCTCTCTAGCGTCTAGAAAGTATACTTTCCCTTGAACACTTCCATTTTTCCTCCTCCCTTCTTTCTTTCCCTCCTTTATGAACTTGACTTTGCCAGGGTCATTTTTTGTTTTATTTGTGCTGCCAGCTTTTGTTTTAGTACATGTCATAATAATTACATTCGGTTGCTATGGCAAAACACATGAGCAAATCAACTTATAGAAGAGTTTATTGAGGCTTACAGTTTCAAAGGGTGAGTCCATGGCCATTGTAGTGAGAACTTGCAGCAGGCAGTCGGGCAGGTTCCAGAGCAGTAACTGTGGGTTTTCACCTTTTCCCAGAGCACACATCCACCCCTTCACCCCCCACTCCCACCTACCCATACTCACCCCTGCACCTCCTGCATGGATGGCATGGGCTTTTGAAAGCCCAAAGCCCAGCCCCAGTTATAAGCTTCCTCCAACAAGGCCACACCTCCTAATTTTTCCCAAACAGTTCTATCAGCTGAGGACCAAACGTTCGAATATATGTACCTATGTGGCCATTCTCATTCATACCACCACAGGTCATCAGTGCCAAACTACAAATCTGAGCAAAGGTGCTGTTAGAGACAGTGATAGCAAGAAAAGGGAGGAATCTCAGGGCCCATATTAGTAAGAAATAACCTTTTTAACACATCTATTACATTTCTTCATAAATTCTGTTTCTTGGGTTCAGTTTTTGTTCTAACAGTATTTTAAAGTGAATCTAAGAATTAGATTTTACTAACATCTAAGGATGCGTTGATTTTTTTTTTCACAATCACTTATTGACCGCTTAAACAATGCTCTGAATGAACTACTTGCAGGAACTTCACTCTGCAAAGAAATACTTCCTTAGTATGTAAGGATTTAGTTTTTATTGTTAGCTAATTTATGTATTTGTATATCACCTTTGTTCATTAGTATCTTTTGTGTTTGTTTTATTTTTGCCTCCATGCGTGAAATTGCAAGCTCTTAGAAGGCACGGAGGTTTTTTTATATATATTTATATATTTACTTATTATGTATACAATATTCTGCCTGTGTGTGTGCCTACAGGCCAGAAGAGGGCACCAGACCTCATTTACAGATGGTTGTGAGCCACCATGTGGTTGCTGGAATTTGGACTCAGGACCTTTGGAAGAGCAGGTAATGCTCTTAACCGCTGAGCCATCTCTCCAGCACCCCAAGGCACAGAGTTTGGATTTCAAATCATCGTACTTTTGAGCAGTCCTCAGACTGTGGCAGCTTCTCTGTGCATAGTGTGGTTTCGTGATGTCAGGTGTTGACTGTAACGGCGGCGAGTGACTCAGCATTGCCGTGCCCACTCCTTACTTCATCTTAGTCAGTCGTTCATTAGGACGGTGGAGTGCTGGCAGACTCCCCGAGGTGGCACATAGCTCTGCGCTTTCAGAGTTTCTTTTCTTTAGGAAACTGAATTTGGAGGTTCAAATCAGAGCTTTTGAATGCTTTGTATGGATGGCAGCTTTGTTCTGTTCCAGTGACAGTGGTGATACTTTATAAACGGAGGAGAGGGAAATTACCTGCGTCTCTTTCTGAGACCAGACCAGAGGAAACAAACACTGTGGCCTGGAACTGAGCTGTGGTGTAGATGGGGCTCACCCCAGTCCTAGCTTAACCTCACACACTCCTTTTGTGGTAAATCTGTGCCTTCCTCAGCCTGGCACCCACACACATCAAGAACGGGAACAACGCTCTTCGTGGGCTTCGCTTTGATAGTTGGCAAGCACAGAGCATGATGTCTGGTTGAGAGTAGAGACTCATACCTAGCAGAGGTTTTTGTTCACTTGAGAATCTGAACTGTTGCTTGTTCATCAGAGAAGGTCCTGTTCTTGGCATGGTGGCTTTTATTAAGACCACTGTGCCTTTTCTTAGTAGCCAAGTCTTCTGGGTACTTCCTGTACTGTCAGGTCACACATGACAGTCCCAGGCCTGCTGCAAACAGGTATATCAATAACTAATTGCCCATTTTTCAATGTTTATAGCAGTTTTGCATGTTTTGATTCTGATATATATG